CTAGAATGTTTAAATGTTTTTCTTCATGGGACCTATTTCCAGAAGTTTAATTGTTCTATTGTTGTTTTCCTCTGTGCCTTCTCTAAATCTTCCTTCCATAAGGAGTTTTAGCAGTCATCTATCTGATTTAAGCCCCTCATATTAAAGAAGAGGGAACTCAAGTTTAGAGTTGAGAGACTTGCTCAAGGGCAAAGCATTAATGGCAGAGCCAAGACTACAACCCAGATCTCTGGATTTTACTACAGTGCACATTCCAGTACCTGGCAGTTCAGTGACAAGGCTTAAAACTGAGTTATCCAGTGAAGGCACTACCAAAGCCAGCTACAGATAAGTTACCTTAAGACGTGATAGTGCTAACAAAAGAACTATACTGGTGGCTCAATCAGGCTTGTGTATTTGCAAAATGAATAGGATCGGCACTGGTGCCCAGTATACTGATTAAAGAGAATCACCTTTGGTTTTAATGTTGAAATTAAATATATTTCAAATAGAAAAATTAGTAATCGTCTTACCTTGAATCGTATGATGTATGCAGCTATTAGCACACCAACACTCTGTACCAAATCCCCCAAAGCATGTACAAATGCAGCTCTCACTGCCAGGCTATCCTGGCCATGGTTGTGTCCACACCCAGAACCTGTGGTAGAAGAATTTGAAGGCAGGGAGTGGGAATGGGCGTGATGGTGACCAGACTGGTTCAACAGAAACCCCATTCTGTTAAAAATAAAAGAAAACATTATTCTTCTTCCTACCATTATTAAAAATATTTGTTACTAATCAGACATTAATGAGGCAACATGGAACTCGTTCATTCAATAAATATTTGAGTATTATTTATCAGGGACTGTTTTAGGTGCTGGGTCAAAACAGTGAAGACAGACAGACATATCCCTATCCCCATGGAGCTTATGTTCTAGTAGGGAAGGCAGAGAAGTAAACAAATACCTAGTGTACTACTGCCAGGAGATGAGAATGCTTTGAAGAAAAGTAAAATATTGCAAGGGGATGGAGAGTGATAGGGAGAGTGGTCTGAGAAGGCCTCTCTTAGATTCCATTTGGGCAGTGACTTGAATGAAGTCAGGAAGCAAGCTGTGGGGGAAGAGTGTTCTAGGCAGAAGGAATACAAGGGCAAAGGTCTTGAGATGAAAATGTGCTCTATGTACTTAAAATAAGGATCTTATTAAAAAGGCTTTGGTAAGGACTTTGGACTTTATTCTATGTATGAATGAAAGCCACTAGGACAGGGACGGGCAAACACTGGTCTGTAGACCATATCTGGCCCACTGCCTGTTTCTGTAAATAGTTTTATTGGGACACAACCATGTTCACTTGTTGACATACTGAATGTGGCTGCTTTTGTTCTGTAATAGCAGAATTGAGTAGCTGCAAAAGAGACTGGCTCTAAAAGCCTAAATGTTTACTATCTGGTCCTTTACAGAAAAAGTTCGCTGACCCCTGACCCAAATGATTAAGTATGTAACTTAAAAATTTCAGTTTTGGGGAAAAAAAGTTGGTAGTTAAAAAAAAAAAAATCTCAGTAACATAAAAGAATTATAGAAATTAAATAAAACAAACTTTGTCTTAAATTCCCGATTATTAGTCAAACTTCGGTATTGCTGAGCAAACTAACGAGGAATTTATAATTCTAACAGTGTTTTATTAATATTTATAAGAAAAAGTGATATACTAGTTTATATTAAAATGTCACTACACATTGCTGAATGCATGTATGTCTCTAAGTTCACAGTATTTGAAAATATTAATGTGAAAAAAATTGAGTGTATGAGACGTCATTATAATGGTGGATACATGTCATTACACATTTGTCCAAACTCATCTAATATACAACACCAAGACTGAACCTTAATGTAAACTATGGACTTTGGGTAATTTTGATCTATCAATGTAGGTTCATCAATTATTACAAATGTACTACTCTAGTGAGGGATGTTGATAATGGGGGAGGCTATGCATGTGTGGGGGTAGGAGATATACAGGAAATCTCTGTACCTTACCCTCAATTTTGCTGTGAACCTAAAACTGCTCTAAAAAGTAAAGCCTATTAAATTTTTTTTAAAAAAATAGAGCTTACATTACATTAACTGCAACTCCAACAGCTGCGGTAATGAGCATTATATCTCCATTTATTTCATACTTCATATGGATAGTTCTTTGGACAGCTTCATATAGGAGGAATCCCATAAGTATATACACCAACAGCACACTAATCATAGCTGACAAAACCTCTAGAGCAAAAAATATAAAAAGATGTATTTGCAGATGGTTATTACACTTCATATAAATTAAAGACACGGTTATTACACTTCATATAAACTATATACAATCTTTTATTTATTTATATCTTCTTTCCTCTAAGAAGATAAAAATACTATATCATTTTTGTCATGTTATTTTCCTTAAAAATTTTATTATTTGATATAGAACATTTTTTTAAATTGGATATAACTGACATGTTAGTTTTAGGTATACGACATATATATATATTTATTTAAGTGTTTAGTAGTTTGATCTAGATCCTCCACTAATTCACTCCTACCATATCCTACCATCCCCTCATTTCTTTAGGGTTAAATTATATATATTTATAGACCATGCACATGGTAAAAAATGCAAAACTGAGAAAAAAATATTTGTAACATGCATGACCACAAACTAATTTCTTAATAGATGAGTATACTTATAAGTCAATAACAAAGTGAACCCACAAGAAAAAAATGGGTGATGAACATAAATAGTAACACACAGAAAATAAACAGAAATGGCCAATTTATCAAAATCAGTCTTAATATAAGAAATTCAAATAAGAATAAAATTCCTTTTTGGCTCTTACTAAAATTGGCAAAGGTTAAAAAGTTTGATAATAGCCAGAGTTAGCAAGGACATACTGGTGGAAGGACCAAATGGAACTATCATTTTGGAGAGCAGTTAGTAAAACTACTCAAAATTCCTTGATTCTAGGAATCTATCTGATAAGAAACACATCCATACGTATGTGAAGATACCTAGAAGGTTTTTCACTGTAGGTTTGTTTGTAGCATCAAAAAAAGATCTGGAGACATCACTAATGAAGAACCTAATAGATAAATTATGGTATATACATATAATGGGACACCATACAGCCATTTATATACATATGCGCACGTGCGTTTGTGTGTGTATATAAACAAAAATTAGGCAAATTGATACTCATAAGAAAGACAAGAAAACGTTATATCTGGAAAGTGAGAGTAGGAGCTTAGAGAATTTATTTTTCATTTTATTCTTTTTGGTGATGTCTGGAAAGTTTTAAGTTTTTAACCACAAACATGTATTACCTTTAGACTAAAAACAAACACATTTTTTTATCTATGCAGGTATTCATGAGTATACTCTAACCCAGGAATTCCTCTAAGAATGATATACACACTCTTGCTGACTGAGTTGCCCATGTGCAAAATAAGGTATATTATGAAGCTATTCATCAAGCATTGTATGTAATAGCAAATAATTAAAAACAATAAAAAAGTAATTAGTAGAGGCCTTATAACATGGGATACTATGCAGCTGTAAAAAAGAATAAGGCTCTTATGTTCTGATAAGGAATAATCTCCAAAATACAGAGTTATGTGGAAAAAGCAAAGTACATACCAGTGTGTATGGTGTTACCATTTGAGTGAAAAGGAAAACAAATATATAAATAATCTGTACATGTACTCTCTGGAAGGATGTACAAAATACAGATTAAAAACTGGTTGTGAGGAGAATGGGTGGTTGGGAGACAGGGACTTTGCACTATACATCTTTGCACTATACAGCTTTTTTATATCCCATATGAATTTTCTACGATATGTGTATAAAGTAGAAATAACTTTATATCTTCAAAATAACAAAAAATAGGGCAATGTGAAATATATATATTAAAATAATCAACTAACGTTATATAAAACAAGTGTTGACATTTAAAACAATAAATGCAAGAAAATACTTTTAAAGAAAATTTTTCCTTTAGAGAAACCAGGCATTAATACTATGAAATATTAAAAGGTAAAACAATCTGGAAAAACTGTTATCTGGGTTGACTCATTACTCAAAGGTTCCAGGCAATTCAAGTATACCGGATGGACTTTGATACACTTTAATTCCAACAAATAAATTACACCACAGAAAAATTATTTAGCAATTATAGCTGTTTCCTGAAGACATCTCATTAATTTAGATGAAATTCCAATAAAGTCCTGTGTATCAACAAAACAGATGGGATAAGACAAAAAATACAATTTCTATTCAAAACTATGGTACACCTATTCCTGACATCATCATGCTTTGAAAGACACACAGGGCTGAAGAAGACAGAGAAAAGACCAACTGAAATAGACAAAACTGTGGAGAGGCAACCATTTTAAGTCCAGACTCTAAGCTCTTTGAGAATAGGACCAAGCTACATTCCATGTTACATTTACTGTAGCACTCGGCAGAGTGGCCTGCATCTAGTAGATACTCAAATATTTTTGGATAAATTTTAAAAATGAAGTTAGGTTGAGCAAGGGATGATAAAAGACTACACAGTTAAGAAATTTAAACTAAATATGAACAATAGGTTACTGCGGTCCCCCCTTATCTGCAGTTTTGCTTTCTGCGGTTTCAGTTATTCACAGGTAACCTTGGTCCGAAAATATTAAATGAAAAATTCCAGGTATAAACAATTCATAAGTTTTAAATAATGCACTGTTCTGAGGAGCATGATGAAATCTCGAGCTGTCCCACTGCGTCCCACCTAAGATGTGAATCATCCCTTTGTTCTGTGTATCCATGCTGTATATGCTCCCCAACCGACCGTTAGTTGCTCAGTAGCCTTCTTAGTTATCAGATCAGTTATGGGGGCGGGGGGAGAGGAGAGAGAGAGAGGTAGATAGATCACATTCATATAACTTATTATAATATATTGTTATAATTGTTCTACTTTATTATTAGTTCTGCTGCTAATCTCTTACTGTGCCTAATTTATAAATTAAACTTTATCATAGGATGTATATACAGGAAAAACAGAATATATAGAGTTCGATATCATCCACAGTTTCAGGCATCCACTGGGTATCTTGGAATGTATCCTCTACAGATAAGGAAGACTACTATATTTACTAAATCAGAGATTACTATATTTACTAAATCCCCCCCAAAAGTAAACAGGTTAAAAGAGAAGAATTAAGCCAAATACAAGACAGAAAACACACGGAATTTCTTGTCTTAAATTATACTTGCTAATGGTTAAATAAACATATATAAATAATGTAAAGAATAATTAAAATTAAAAATTTTTTAAACTGTAAAATCTCATGTACTAGTGGCAGCCTCATTTTACTCACAGAGAACTTTTTTCTCTTTAAAATTGGTATTTAAAAAATACCAATCTTTCTCAAACTCTGCCAAAAATAAAAAAAAAGAAAGAGAACTTTAATTATGTGTCAAGATTGAAGCTAGCAATTAGGCCACCATAGTTTTTAAAGTGCCTTAAAATCTTAAGTATGAAATTATAAAGCAAAACACTTTACATTTAGCTATACAAGTTAATGACATAGAGATGTGATTGCTTATGAAAATCTAAAACCAATAATTAAAAATTCTTTCAAAACCTCCTATAATTAGGTTGACCATACTTTCCAGTTTTCCCAGCATAGTTCCAATTCATGCATGTTGTCCTAGCATATTATTACAAGTGCCCCATTTCACCCTCGAAAGTGTCCTGGTTTAGATGATAAGTTCCATAGTTACCCTAGGAGGTCTGCTAAATAAAATGTTAGATGCTGGGTTAAACTTGAATTTCATATAAACAACAAATAATTTTTAGTATATGTATGTGCCATGAAATATTTCAGACATACTGGGCATCCCATAAGAGCCACATGTGTATTTACGCATGCGTGAAATTTGGTAAGCTCACATCCCAGTGATAATTTTCTGAAACACTTAAAATCACCTTCTCGTAAACGCTCAGATAAAGTAAAACAACCTTCAAAATAAAGTAAAATAAGAGTCAAACTAAAGCCTAAACAGAGTTCCTACGCAAGGAGGATTCCCACCCTCAGAAGGTCCACTAGGCTCCTGAAGCTGAAAACAGCAGTTTTCCACAACAGTTTTCACCTACATGAGGTAGCATGGAAGGAATCCCAATGTCTGTCCACAGTGAAGTGTAAAGGAATTCAGCTGATTCCTAGAAATTCCCAAATGACATAAGATATTACTATCAATGACATCCCTTTTCCAGCAAATAAGGAATGTGCCTTATATCCAGTTCCCTTGGTGAAAAGCAAAGACATTCATCTATTATTTTTTATTCTAATCACCGGTCAAAATGTCTTCTAGCTAGAAAACTGATAAATACAAAAGAAAAAAAATTTTAAATAGGTTTTTAGGGCTGAGATTTACGACTGAGAAGCATAAGGTACAGATAATACTATATAGCTAAAAACCCTAATAGTAGAAATATGACCATTTATTCTGATAAAACAAACAAAAAACTCTTTCATTGTGAATAAATTAAACTGGTGAAATATCATGGATAGGACTAATCAGTGTTTAAATTTTTTTCCTAGTATTTTTAACATGATGGAATGCAGATAAACATAGGCAAGATTCTCTCCCCCCAACCTAACCCCCCACAATGTTTAAGAGAGAGGGAGGCTTTCAATCAACCACCAAATTATGACTCCATCCAATCTTCTCATTCTTGCTCTGGGTTGGTCTCTGGTCACATAATGTACAAGTAAGTTTTTCAAGACAAAAGGAGTGCATAGCATATAGATTTTTCATTTTCTAAGGGAGGCCCAGGAACTTTAACAATCTAGAAACCCTAGATTTCTGTCTAAGTTACTACTCCATTAGCTTTAGGAAAACTTGGAAATTTGCTAAATGGAAATTTAGCAAAAATGAAATACTCTTGAATGAGATTTTTATGGAAATTCTAGAAAACCTATTATTATAGTAGTTCTAACATATTTTGCTACTTCACACATAAATAATTAAATCAGTCTACCTGGCTGAACTGTAGCATTGAAGGAGGGAGTAAGATGAGTGAATATGTGTTTTTTGTTATAACATCACTCGGATCTTTTTATTCAGTTGAAATATAAACAAATGTTTATGGTCAATGATCTAATAAAGACCAAAATATACCCTGAATTTCACATACAGAGAATAAACAGTTTTAGTTTAAATGCCCAATAAATGGTAAGAGAAAATATTAATTATT